AATTAGTGTGTGCGTGCAGTGCGACGGCGTCTGGGATTAGCATGTACTACCGATCGGCCCGATGCGCATGGTCACGGACGGCTGGCTTACGGAACAAGCGGCGGCTGGCAAGGACGAAGACCGACTCGTTAGCTGCCTGGAGAAACGACATGCGCTGGGTGGATCTAGTGGTACCGTGCACGAGCGCGGCTAGGGGCTTATCATTGTTCTCTGATGCCACGGTGGTAAGCCCTATTACTGGCACAGGTCGACAACGAGGAGGGACTAGTAACAAAGCTGGGGCACTTTTGGAGCGAGCGGAACACGAGAACAACGCCACCTACGAGGAGGTCATCACGTGTGGGTTGGAGAATCTCCAATGCTTAGGAGCTGAGGTGTACGACAGATGGGGAGCACAAAATGCCGCCGCCCTAGTGCCCACCTTAGCTTACGAGCGGACTCAAGATATGCATATACGAGTCCGCAACGCGACCGCACTAGGTGTACAGTAGAGGCACTGGGGTATCCTTGGCCTCGCCCTGCAACGTGCTATAGCGAGGTGCACGATGAGGCCACGTGTAGACCTGGCGTACACGCCCCAAGAGCCTACGTGCCCATGCGCTGACCATGAGGTGCCATAGGCATTTTCCTCCTTGTCTCCGTCTTCGTCCTCGTCCTTGTCCTCGTCCTCGTCCTCCTTCTCCTACTCTCCCTACTCTTCCTCCTCCTCCTCCTCCTCCTCCTCCTCCTCCTCCTCCTCCTCCCGCTCCTGCGGAGCGGCTCAGCTCAACGCCCAGCCCTTCGTCAAATGGCGAGAAGAGCAGTTTCATCCCGGCTCTGTTCTGTCCTGTGGTGTCCGCCTGCTGCGTACGCCGAAAAAAAACAGTGGCGTTCTCTTGCACGCAGTTGCTGTGGTGCACACAGGCGCAGGGTGTACGCAGGCGTTGTGGTGCAGGCAAACACTGTGGTGTGCACTGATGCTGCGTTGCGCGCGGGTGCAGTGTACAGAAGCACAGTGGTGTACAGAAGCACAGTGTTGCACGCAGGAACTGTGGTGCGCATTGGCGCTGTGTCGCACGCGGCTGCTGTGGTATACATCAGCGATGTGGTGTATACAGGCGCTGCGGTGCACGCAGGCACTGTGGTTCACAGAAGCGTTGTGGTGCAGATCGCCCCCTACATGCTGCTCCGACCCTTCCTCGGTCATTCTTTGGCATTCACAAACTGACTACCTACCAGACCACCCCAACCCAACCCGAAGACCCGAATTTGACCCGAAGTTCGGGTTGGGGGGGGTACGGATTCCATGTATTTTTTCAATGTTCCCCGACCCCCCCCACTGGAAATCGAGGATAAATTTGGGCCTTCGGGTTTGGTTGGGGTGGTTTGGTGGGTGGTGACAAACGCCACCGGCGTGAAACGTGACGGCAACAACCCCATTCCCCCCCTCCCCCTTTTACGGAGACGGCCGTCATCGTCCCGAAAAAAAACGTACCCCTGACGAGACGTCGCCTTACAACGAAATGCCGCGACGTCTTTCAGAAAATCTGGGAAGTGGTGCGCGCGAATCAGATGTGGTTTGTTCTCTTTTCCCTGCTGTTGTTGTTCTTGCTTGTCCGCCCATTCTCCCCCCCCCAACTCATCACTACGAGGACATCAGCACCCCGGCTCGTTTTATACGAACCCTTGGCTCCCCTACGACCAGCCCAGCAATCTTCAATTGGATACCCAGGGTCTCAAATTTTCAAGCCATCCCTCAGCTCTCCTGCGCATGTTCGACAGTCTATGGAGACCCCCGGAACAATATCAGCGAAACGCAACCGCCGGAAGGCGTCCCGAGCTTGAATAGAAAACGACAGCCGAAACAAACGAAAACGTCCGAAAACCTGAAACTTTGATCCGCCGATCTTCCCTGATACGCGTTCCCAGAGATGCGACGTCCTAATTCTGTCATTGCGGATTTCCCGAAATTGCCAACACTTTCCTTGGGCCCGGCTTTTCAACGCCTGCCGTTTTTAAGACGAGACGAATCTACTGACACAAATTGTTATTGATACGTTCCGGGGATTCCGGGATTTCTGAAAGCCATCTCGCGGGGTAAACTTTGCGTCGAATAGTGACAGTACTATGCCTGGCGCCGCTGGTCGATCATCCATTCGCAATCGAATAGTCTCCCGTGGGGGGCTATTTGGCACTTGCTGATCCCCCTTCTCGTTGCCGGGCGCGGGGGGGGACGGTGGCGCACCGCGCCGTCGCCCGCCGCCGCGCACACTGCGCGCCTCGGCGGATTTCCGAAGGCCTGGTAGTGCAAATCACGCGCGACTCTGGAGAATTCTCCGAGGGTAGATTCGAAACTATCCCATAAAATTTGCTTTTGAAATGTCCAGCTCATCCTTGTTAAAATCCTGCAGTCCGCCAGCCCCGTTGTGGGGCCACCAGGCTGCAGGGCGAAGGTTCGCAGTTTCCTGTGCCAGTTGCAGCTTCCGGTTTCCACTGTTACAGTTCTGCTTCTTGCTGCGTACTTTTCCTTGTTGGCTTGTTGTTGCTTGCTGTTCCTTCTTGATGGACCGCGCGAAAGGGGGAGGCCCAAAACGGGCAGGTTTAGCACGCCCTGAGCGTGCGCTCTGAATTGCTGGGGCGGGAGAAAAAATTACACCCCTCAAACAGATCGGCGGAGTCAGGGTCCAAAAACACATGCGATTTGCCGCATCTCGCAGATCGGCGGGGTCAGGGTCCCAAAACACATAGGATTTACCACCTGTCTCAAATTCGGTTGCGCCCCTCACGCAGATCGGCGGGGTCAGGGTCCAAAAACACATGGGATTTGCCACATGTTCGACATCCGGTTGCGCCCCTCACGCAGATCGGCGGGGTCTGGGTGCAAAAACATACAAGATTTGCCACATTTCTAAAATTCGCTGGCACCCCTCACGCAAAATTACCGGCCAGCTCTGGGTCCCAAAACGCATAGGATTTGCCACACTTCTCATAATCGGTTGCGCCCCTCACGCAGATCGGCGGGGTCAGGGTCCAAAAACACATGGGATTTGCCACATGTTCGACATCCGGTGGCACCCGTCAAGCAGATCGGCGGGGTCAGGGTCCGAAAACCAAGAGATTCCCAACAATTCTGAAATCCGGTGGGACACCTCACGCGGATCGACAGGGTCAGGGTCCAAAAACACATAGGATGTGAATATATTTTTTTGAATTCGGTGGCATCACACAGATCGGCGGGGTCAGGGTCCAAAAACATAGAGGATTTGCCACATGTCTGAAACCCCTTGCGCAGAACCGCGGGGTCAGGCTCACAAGACACGTCAATTTTACGAATCGGCCTTGCATGGAGTTCCGATACTGCTTCACGACGGCGACCAGGCCTCATGACGTAGGTCTCGCATCGCGCATTCTCCGAAATAGGTGGCCGGCGACAGGGGGCGAAGTTACGGATCGGCTTTGAAACATTCCAGGATCGATGTTTGAAAATTCGGGAAACAATTTTGAAAATATCCCGATTTCACATTTATTCAGATGTCCTGCGCGGCGGGCGCATTCCACCCCTTCAGAAATGTTTATTGAAAGTTCCCGGACTCCTTTCTGGAAAATTCCGAAAACCGCTTTTGTGTGCGTATATATATAGATGTGCGTGTTTGGAAACATGTTTCAATCCGAAAATAATTTCTGAGCGGTCTGGCGGGCGCGACCGGCTGATTCAGGCGCCGCACCGCGTGCGATAGCACTCGAAGGGGTTGCTTCGAAAATCGCGCCGCGGCAGCTGCGACTCGCGGACTCCCCAAGAGCAAACTTTAACGCAACTTGGAATATCCGAAGGCGCTCCGATGCGTAAAGATGCACCGCGCGCACCACGCAGCAAGCCTGCGCGACGGAACGCGCTCGGCCTTTCGTCCCTACAGCCCGCGCGGAAGGACGGGAAAACCTGAAATTCTTGCTCCTTCTTAGACGGTCCTGGGGCCCGTGGGGGGGGGGCCAGAAGGCCGAACATGACCACACGACATACCCACCCCATCGGCACCAAGGAATGACATAAGGTGTGCCGACAATAATGCGACAGCAGCAGTGCAAGAGGCGCTGCAGGGCGGATATCTACATCGTGCGAAGTGTGCATGGACGATTCGTGAATCAGAAATACAAGAGGCTAGGAGCCATTGTACTACGAAGGAAAATCAATACTAAAAAACACATCGCGGTGGAAGAACAATCACCTCGGCAGAAGCAACGAAATGATGAGGCATGGGCAAAATACGATGACATGAGTGGAGACGCAACCAAACAATGAACTGTCGCATTGTTCCATGCCGAAATGCTCAACACTCGCGCGGCCAGCGCTCAACGTTGCTGCAACACTTCGGGAAATTAGAAGCTCCTATTACTGGTGTAAGAAGCGGCCAAAGCCTGAGCCCGAGAACAGGGCGAAGGCACCCGATATGACGCGACGCTCGGATCGAAGGTCTCCAGAAGTCTCTGAACGCCCCCCGCAGGTCCCCAGGGCTCTGGAGGTCCCCCGAGGACTGCGGAGGCCTCTGCAAGCCCACAACTGCCAAACACGTGCAAACTGGGTCGGAAGCCATACAGGCGCGCCTGTGGGGACCGTTCTGGAAGGACTGCTCGCCAGCGCTGGCACGGGGGAAGGGCGTCCTGATGGAAGCGGGTCCTGGACCCCGAGGCTTTCCCCTGGATCAGCACTTCATCCTGAGCCGTTTCATTGACGACCCTTGGGCGACGCTTAATGGGGGGCGATAAATGAGGAGGGAAGAAAGGTACACCTCTGGGGCCCTACGGGCCCAATTGGGGCCCTCAAGGGCCCCTCTCTGCAGCCCTCGCATCCCTCCCATTTACTGCCCCCCATTAGCTCGCGACCCCCAAGACCCGTTTTGCCATCTCCGGAGCCCATGGGAGGCCCTGGGAGGTCGAAACAGCCTTCTCGGGCTCTGCTCCTTCAGAACGGTGTTGCTTTTGATTGCCGAAGCACTACACGCGCAAATTTCCCGCCGGGGCGTCGCGTTGAAGATGTCGTTGAAATTCTGGCTCAACGCCTCTTGCCTGGCGCGGTCGCGCGGCCTCCGCCCCGCCCACTCCCTCGTACCGTCTTCTCCCGCATACACCCTTGAAGACTCACCTCTCCTTATTCCCAGAAGTGTATCCGCCACCGTGCCTTCAGCACGCAGTGGAGTGCCAAAAGGTTCCTGCTGTTTGTTCTAGGAGGTGGAGGATTAGAGGGTTCCTAGAGATTCAAAAGGGCCCAGACCACGAATGTCCCAGCGTGTCCTGGGGGATTCGGGGATCTTACCAGCCAACCGGGCGTGCGAGAAGCGAGGAGGAGCACGGAGCGAGGAGGAGCAAGGGGCGAAGCGGAGCGAGGAGAGAGGATGAGAAGAAGCAAGACGCGAGGAGCGAGGCGGAGCGAGGATGAGGAGGAGGGAGGGGGGAGGAGGAGCGAGGAGCGAGAAGAAGAGATGAGAAGGAGGTTCATCACAGGGGTGCACAGCATGCCGAAGGTCTGGCAGGTTTGTGGTTCTTTCTAAAGAACTCTCAGGGGGGGACTCGGCCCAACCCGCTGGCCACCCGAAGAACCCGTAGATTGTCAAAACATCTCTCCAAAACGGCATGGACTCCCAGACGGCCACGAGAGCCTCCAAGATGCCTCCGAGATGGCCAAGACAGCCCCAAGAGGGCCCAAGATCGCCCCTAGATGGCCTCCAAGACCGTACCAGGATGCCCCCGCGACCGTCCAAGACGGTCCAAGAGAGCCCAAGACGGCACAAGAAGCGCCCAAGAGGCCATAAGACAGCCCAAGAGGCCTCCAAGAGACCCTCCAGAAGGCCCGAAGAGGCCAAATCACTGTTCGAGCTAGGTTTTTGAAGGATTGTGGCGTTTGCTTGTAAACGGCCTTCTGACAACCCGAGACGGCCCATCTGGGGCCCGGGCCGCCGTCCCCCTCACACTCCCCCTAAGGTATTTCTTCAAACTCATGGATCGCACGCGAAGCGCACTTTCCGTCGTCGGCCCCCCACTGATGATTCTAGGGAAACCAAAAACAACACAAACATCAACTTTTGGCGGTCTGCGCGGACTTCTTGGATCTGAGCTGGACACCCCTCCCCGGCGCGCGGAGCGCGCCAGGGGCGGTGCCGGAGGCGCCGCCAGGGGGGCCCAGCGCGGATCCATGAATCCGCGGGGAGCGCCATCAGTTTATGTGGATGGCGTTCTTTCTTCTTCGGGATGCACCACAAGGCTTCACGGAGTACAGAATTTCTGAGGGTATCTGGTTCTCTTTGAATGTGGGGCACCCGCCCAACGCGCCGCGGGTCGTGGGTTGTTTCTTCCAAGACGGTTCCAAGATGGCATCCAAGACGGCCCCAAGAGGGTCCAAGATGCCTCCAAGCCCGCCCAAGAAGCCACCAAGACGACCCTAGATGGCTCCGAGATTGCCCAAGACGGCCCAGGAGACCTCCAAGACGCAGTCAAGACAGCCCAAGACGCCTCCATGAGGTTCTCCAGGGAGGCCCGAAGAGACCAAAATCATTGAATGCAACATGTTGTCTTGGAAAGATTTAGGTATTTGCGTCGTTTCGGCCTCCCCACGGCAAAAGACGGCCCAAGAGGCCCCAGAATCGCCAAAGAGGCTTCCAAGATGGCCCTTATGACGGCCTGAGAGGGCCTAAACACGGCCCCAAGAGGGCCCCTAGACGGCCCAAAAGGCTTCCAAGACGCCCAAGATTGCCATCGAGACGGCCCTGAAGCACCCCAAGAAGGCCCCACGTCCGTTCAGAGAGGCCCCCAAGACGGCTTCCGACCGCGTCAGACGGGTCAGGAACGCCCTAAGATTGCCAAAGATGCCCCCAAAAAGACCCTAACCCCAAGAGACCTTCAAGTGGTCTCTGGGAAGCTCACAGGAGGCCTCAAGAGTGCCCTGGAAGGCTCCCAAAAGGCTTCCTTCTCCTCTTTAGATATCCTCCCTCCCTTTCTCTTCCCTTTTCTCCTCCAAGAGTTCCCCCAAGCGTTTCCACAACGGCTCGGGAAACAAATGGTCCGATAGCTTGTCCAAGCTCTGGGCACAACGTTCGGCCACACCGGCACATCCAAAGGGCAGGGGGCGGCGATGGTTCGCCATGGGCGTCTTCGACGCGCGAACAGACGAACATGTAGTTCTCGCCGCGGCACCGCACAGACCTCGCCTGAAGGTGGCGATCCCGCCTCGGCGCAGCGCATATGCTTCACTCGCCGAATTTTGGAGCCCAGCGCGAGCGAGCGGCACGTCGCCCTCGCCCAACCTCCGTGCATATCTCGCTTTGAGGTGGCGTTTCCGCGCGGGCGCGGCGCATGTGTTGCACGCCGGATCGCATGAAAGCGGCAGCGGCAGCGGGGCTGCGCGAGAGCAGGCTGTCTTCACCCCGGTCTGCAGAGCTGGTCGGTCTGTGGGTGAAAGTGGCAGTGCTGTTCCGGCGCGGCGCATCGTTCGTCTGCGCCGCGCTCATTGGAAAGTTGGCCGCCCGAGAAAGGGATTGACTGTGTGTTCCCGCCGCAGCGCCCCGCGAGGACTTCCTGAACTTTCCCTCCCACCTCTGCGCGGCTCTCGTGGCCGCCCCTTCGCCAAGTCGTCGGAGGCGGGGCAGCGCGCGAGCGTCTTCCGTTCGCTAGATGGGAACGCGGCCCAACACTAGCAGAACGCTGTGCAACACCTGGTCCTCGTCTTGCGGGAAAACGGGTGGGAATGGGCGGGGCCCGCTGACACGCTCGACCTGGCAAACTTGACATTTCCTCCCCACTCTCACGCCGCTCTGCCTCCAGACTTCTGGCGTGCCCGTTGCTCCGACGATCTCTCGAGGAGATCGGCCCCATGGTGGGCCAGAAAACCACATCCACGACCTTTGTCCCGAGTGACGAAGCGGAGCCCTCAGGTCCCTTCGAGCCCCCTGCACCGAATCTTATAAATGCTCGTTGGGTTGCCTGGGTCCCTGAGTTCTGGGCGACCACACTGGGGTTTCTTCCTCCTCCTCCTCCTCCTCCTCCTCCTCCTCAAGAGCCGCCGGGGCGGGCGCAGGCGCGGGCGCCCACCAGACGGCGCCCTGCTCGACGCAGAGGGCGGCGTCCTTTATCAAGCCGTCAGAGCAGAACTCCTCGCACTCGCAGCGGGCCTCGCGGCCCGGCGGGCACGGGCTCTGGAAACCTGCTCTTCCTCGAACTTCGAACCAAATTTCGATGTCGGTGTCAGATCTCCTCGATTTCGAAAGGAACAACGTTGAGGCGGTGGAGGGCCAGGAGGATCCCCACCCACCCCTCTTCAAATATATCGATATCGGTATAGTCCATTCAAGATCCCCCGATGTGTTGTCCAAAAGGCGAGAATATTGTATTACTATACACGGGTGGGGCGGGTAAGGTGGACGGAGAGGAAGATGACGATGTGATGAAAGGAGAAGCGCGGGCGGGCGATGGGCGGGCGGGCGGGCGGCGGGCGGGTCGGGACTTGAGTCGACTCCTTAAGGATTCCCTTTTGCAGCGGGAGCCGGTTGAGTACTGGATGTTGTCTTGGAGACGGGGGTTGTTGAGTCCAAGGTGTTGTCTTGGAGACGGAGGCTGTTGAACAGAGGGAAGCACATGCTACACGGAAAGCGGGCGAGCGGACGGGCGGCGGCCGGGCGAGCGAGTCGGGATGTTCATAGACTCCTTAAGGATATTCTCGTGCAGCGGGAGCCACTGGGTGTTGTCTTGGAGATGGAGGCTCTCGACTACAGGGTGTTGTCTTGGAGACGGGAGCTGTTGAATACAGGGTGGTGCGTGCTACACGGAAGGCGGGCGGGGATGCGGGCGGGCGGGCGGGCGGGCGGGCGGCAGGCTTGAGGATCGGGATTTGAATCGACTCCTTACGGGTTCTCTCTTGAAGCGGGAGCCTGTTGAGTACTGGGTGTTGTCATGGAGACGGATGCTGTTGAGTACAGGATGCCTTCTTAGAGACGGAGGTTCCCCTCATGATTCATGGAACTTGAAACGGACGGTTCACGATTTACAATCCCGAGGCTGAAAGCTTCCAACCCTTACAAATATGGAGGGGTGGTCGTTTTCAAAATGCGCCTCTCGCTTGAGCAACGCGCACACACGTCTTCGAAGCTTCGAAAGATCGCGTTTGGGGGGGCCAAAACATTGAGCGCCCCTGGAGAACCTGGGGAGGGGGGCCCTGGACACCGGCCTCCCTCACCGCCCCGCCCCCCCAAGGGGGGGGTATCGAACCAGGGTGAGGGGGCCTCCCCCCGTCCAAGGGAGGAGGGGTCGAACTGGGCCCCCCCGCAGTGAGTTGCAAAGGGGGGCGGGGGGTCGAACACAGTGGGCCCTTCCCCTCCTGTCCAAACGGCGAAAAGGTTCGAACCGGGCGGGCCCCCCGCGGCTGCAAAGGGAGAGGGGGTCCAAAGCGGGGGGACCCCCCGCCCTAAATTACAAGGGGGGGGACCCGGGGGGGGGGGCCGTCCCAAAGGTGCACGATGGGGAAGCTCGAACCAGGCATCCCTGCGCCATCTCTGTGCGCGTCGTCGTCGTCGATGGTCGCCGTCGCCCGTCGCCGTCGTTGTCGCGGTCGCCGCCGTCGACGTCGCCGTTGCTGTCGCCGACGCTGTTGCCGTCGCCGTCGCCGTCGCCGTCGCCGCAACCGCCGCCGCCGCTGCGGTCGTCGTCGTCGTAATAGTCGCCGTCGTAGTCGTAATAGTCGTCGTCGAAGTCGTAGTAGTCGTCGTCGTCGTCGTCGCCGTCGTCCTCGCCACCGCTGCCACTATCGTTGCCGTCGTCGGTCGTCGTCGTCGTCATCGCCGTTGCCGTCGTCGTCGTCGTCGTCGTCGTCGTAGTCGTCTTCATCGCCGACGTCGTCGTAGTCGTCGTCGTCATCGCCGTCGTCGTCGTCGTCATCGCCGACGTCGTCGTCGTCGTCATCGTCATCGCCGTCGTCGTCGTCGTCACCTTCGCCACCGCCGCCACTGTCGTTGCCGTCGCCGGTCGTCGTCGTCGTCGTCGTTGTCGTCGTCGTCATCGCCGTCGTCGTCGTCGGTCGTCAGCATCGTCGTCGTCGTCATCGCCGTCGTCGTCGTCATCGTTGTCGTCGTCGTCATCGTCGTCTTTGTCGTCGTTGCCCGAAGGTGCTGGCGCCGCCAACGCCGCCGTCGTCGTCGTCGTCGTCGACGTCGTCGTCGGTTGCAAAGAAGGGGGCTTCCCCTCGTCGTCGCTGCCCAACGGCGCTGGCGCCAGCGCCCGCGCCCGCCGTCGTCAGTTGAAAGGGGGGACCCCCCCCAATTCGACCCCCCCCGCCGAAACAACTCGGGGGGGGGGCGGGCCCGGGTTCGAACCGCCCACCCCCCGCAACTCGGGGGGAGGACCAATTCGAACACCTTTCCCCCCTTGGACAGAGAGAGGGGGCCCCTCTTCGCCCGGTTCGACCCCCCCTTGCAATTCACGGGGGGGAGGCCGTCGCCTGTTCGAACCCCTTTCCCCCGCTTCGGGGGGGGGAACTTCGACCCTCCCCTTTGCATCTCAGGAGAGAGCACCCCCCCCAGTTCGACCCCCCCTCCCTTGTGTTGCATCATCGGGGGACCTTGTCTGTCCCGTCGCGCCGCGATCCACGTCGAATCAGTGTCGAATCCACGTCGAATCCGCGTCGAACCCACGTCGGAGTACAAGAAAAGACGCCCATTTACAGCACAGGAAAGGTGAAAGGTCACCCCAACGCGCTTGTTCAAAGCGACCCACAATTAAGCGGGGAGGGCCGGTCGTCTCGTTCTCGCCTCAGCGCGGCGAAGATTCGTCCTCAAAGTCTGCGACACTTACACCGATGAATGCTTGGATGCTTCCAGAATGGAGTTTTCGCTTGAGACTTCTCCACAAGTAGGACTACAAATGTCAAGATGCGAAACAAACTGCACGGATGGAAGCTGGCATACCTGTACGACCACCCTTCGGGTGATAAGGAGGTTGTGGGGGGAAGGAGGGTCTGACTCAATCGATCTCACTATCGATCTCACTCAACGGGCCACCACGGGCCACCACGGGCCACCACGGGCCACCACGGAGCACTTGTCGATCTCACGATCGATCTCACGATCGATCTCACTCAACGGGACACCACGGGACACCACGGGCCACCACGGGACACCACGGGACACCGTGGGACACCTCTCGATCTCACGATCGGTCTCACTGTCGGTCTCACTATCGACCTCACTCAACGGGACACCATAGGACACCAAGGGACACCACGGGACACCAGGGGACACCTCGGGACACCACATCGATCTCACTATCGATCCCACTATCGATCTCACTCAACGTAACACCACGGGACACCATGGGACACCACGGGACACCTGTCGATCTCACTATCGATCTCCCTATCGATCTCACTTTTTGGAGAACCACGGGACACCTCGGGGCACCACATCGATCTCAGTATCGATCTCAGCATCGATCTCACTATCGATCTCACTTTTTGGAACACCGCGGGACACCTCGGGGCACCACATCGATCTCAGTATCGATCTCACCATCGATCTCACTATCGATCTCACTATCGATCACACTATCGCTCTCACTCAACGGGACACCTCGGGACCACGGCACACCACGGGACACCACGGGACACCTCGGGACACCGCGGGACACCGCGAGCCACCGCCGGACGGGCGGCCGGGGGGGGGAATCATTTGTCTTGCGGCGGACACCACGGGACACCGCAGGACACCGCGAGCCACCGCCAGACGGGCGGGAGGGGGAGAATCATTTGCCTTGACTTCGTCCTAGCAACGGCGGGTGCATTCCTCTCCTGCGCCCACGCAGCTTCGCCCTGCCAGCACGCACGACACGAACGAAACTAACGATTTCCCGGTTGGGGGTCTCCGTTCCACTGCGATCTCACCCCCCTACCTCCGATTTTCGAAATGGCGCTTCCATTTAGGATTCCTTCAACTCACGCGGCAAAACACGCAAATATCTGCACCAACTACACGCATTCGGGGAAATTCCGTTTCAAAGCGGGGTTTCCGCTGGACTACCCCTTGAGCTTTACAAGCCCACCCTGTCGCATTCCATATAGCTCGAATGATGGGGGGCGGCCCCCTTCAAAACAAAACTCCCACTTGAATTATTGGCCCATGGGCCGCTCGTCTTTCCGATCGGGAGGATGTCACTCACTGAAAATGAAGGATGGGACTAGTGAGGAAAAACTTGGGACGGGAGGATGTATTGTAGGATCGTTGATGCACAGCGGCTTCACTCTAGTCCTCCTTCGTTCCGCCGGTCTCAGGAATCATGACTCTGCGAAACTGGTCGTGCAAACACACTGCCAGTTCATGTGGGTTTGCTTAAGCCTGACATCAGGGATCACCCTCAAAGGGCAATGGGAGACGCCTTGCCAAATTCCAGTTGGGTGCCAAGCACCTTTCCTTTTCCGTAGCTCTCTACGCTCGGAGGTGGAAAGGCGGAGAGGGCAAGACAGGAACTTGACAGCTTCGTCCCTCTGCACATGCTGCAACCACTGCAAAGCGTGCATGACACATTTGGCAGCCTGTCTGCCACCACCCAAGAAATAACAAGGGAATGGTGCAGAACAAGAGCACGGACAATGATGTCACGGAGGATGCGCGACGTTTCGGCGCGGCTCACTTTAGAGTTCGTATTCCCCCTCCTCCTCCTCCACTTCCTCCTCCTCCTTCCCGTCCTCCTCCTCCTCCTCCTCCTCCTCTTCCTCAGAACCATCGTCGTAATCATCATCATAATCACCACCACCATCATCATTATCATCCTCCTCCTCCTCCTCATCATATTCATCGTCATCATCATCAGCACCCTTCGCATCCTCAACATCCTTCCCCTCGTCGTCGTCCTCCTCATTCCTTCTTCTCCTCCTTCTCCAGTAAGGAGGAACATCTCCATTGAACTTCCACTTTCGGGCTCGAGGATCAAAAGTTCTGGGGCGTTTGAAACCTCTGGTGAGGGGCCTCGTCGACCCCCCTGGATGGCGCGAGCGATAGCTCAGCCCTGCCGCGGGCATGGCCGCGCCAACCATGGCGGGACGAGGAGAGCGCAGACTCCAAGAAGCCACGATAATGATCCCACGCAGCGGTCACGCACTGAGCCTCTGAATTCCAGTGCCTTTGTACTGGAGGATGCCTATGGATGAGGAGAGGAAAGGAGGAAGAAGGAAGGAGGAAAGGGAAGTGGGCAGTTAACTTTCTGGTGGCTGGAGCCAAGTTTGGTACAATCTTCCAGCTCAATGAGTATATAAATTCCACTGCTGCTGCATGTCTCTCGTGCTTTGCAGGGCGTACAGAGCAGGAGCCGGAAGGCAAGAAAACTTATTCAGGTCCCGTTGGTGTTCACCAAATCGCATTCGGTGAGAACACCCTTGATACCGCTGTCCCTGATGCTGGCCGGCTTGCCGTGCTGTTTCTTCTTGTTCTCGTTGCGAGAGAGGTCAATGATTTCTGCAGTGAGATATTGCACGAGATTATAGAAATCCACGACATTAGCCGACCCGCCCATGATAATGCAGATCTGTAGGTGAATGAGAGACTCGTTAAAGTCGTCGGCTGCTGCGGCCTTCTCGCAGAAAGAGTATGCACAATTTCTGAATGTTGTCTGCCGGTGCTCCACTAAAGATCTTGCACGGCAAGACCTTACCAATGATAAGCAGGGTCTGGCGCGGCCAAGCCAGCGTGTGCTCGAACAGGTTGAGCAGTTCCGCCAATTCCTGCAGCGCGTTGTGCGGTAGCCGTTTCACATCGATCGGGGTCACCCGATCGGTTCCCAGGCCGGTGGCGGTCTTCATCTTGTGCGCTCCAGCTCGGACTTCCTTGGCCGTGATGGCGTCCAGCGGCTCTGGCAATGCTGCCTCGCACGCAGCTGCAAAAGGCACGTTCCATCTGATCCTCGTCGAGAGGATGCGGGGCCCACTTAATGCTGACACACTCTGCGTTTGCCGTCTGTGAGATCTTTGGGCTTACCCAGTGCAGTAGTACCCTCCAATGCCTCAAATGGCACCTCCTTCATGCTCCTGTGTAGGGCCCCCACGAAAGACTGCTGCGTGACCTACTCCGGAGACTCCGACAACGGGTCATGAACGGCTCGCCGCTGTCCTCGAAGAACAAGCCTGGCCGCCTGATCTTGAAACGACTGCAACACTGGAACTGCCAACGCCTTCAGATTGAGCAACGCCGTGGACCACTTCCGATCGCTGGCGCCCCGCCCTGGCCGCACCAAAACATGTAACCTTGCTGGCCGCCCTTGCACCAGATGACGGCACGCCGAGGAGGATGAGGAGGAGGAAGAGGAGGAGGACGACGACGAGGAGGAGAAGGAAAAGGAGAACGAGGAGCACGAGGAGTGGGAAAGGAACAGGGAGGAAGAGTGGGGAGCAGGAGGCCCTGGAAGAGGAGCGAGGCTCCCTCCGAGGGCGAACAAAAAGGGGCCCCAGAGGAACACTACACGGCATAAACGTAATGTCTTGGAGGTCGGCGCGACATGGAAGGCGGACCCATCGCCGACCCAAAATATCCGCGCGGACCTCCGACATGCCGTCATGTGCCATTCGAGGCTCGTGGGCGGGCGGGCACGGCGTGCGAACGGAGGCCGACGCTGCGCCCGGCGCCTGGCATTCCTTCAGGCAGGCCTGGCAGTGCGGGCTGCCGCGGTCCCTGTCGCAGGTCTCCTGGGCAAACAACACTTTCCAAACCCTCGTCAGATTTGTCTCCTCTCCTTTTCTCTTCCTTCCCTCCCCCCTACTGCTCCTCCTGCTTCTCCTTTTCCTCATGCTCCTCCTGCTCCTCCTCCTCCTCGTCCTTCTCCTCCTCCTCCTCCTCTTCCTCCTCCTTCTGGCCTTGGCAGGTCCCAGTACGAGGATTTGAAGCGATTGGTCTTCATTCATGGCTACATTGTGATCGCCTGGGTCCCTCCGGGGATCCATGTGGGGCCGTCCGTCGGCCTTGGCAAGTTCCCCAACGACCACTCCTCGCGCCCATCTGTCTCCCCCAACTTAAGACCGCTTCCCTATGCCATCGCGTACTTTGCACAAGTTCGTCGGATGCGGCATTATCAATTTCAGCTTCGGGGACCTCTGGGACCAGCACTGCCGCTATGTGTAAGAGCCGTGGAAGTGAATGAAGGGGAACGGGAAATGGACTTTGAAGGGGTCATCTGCTTGCTCCAGGTTGACGGCTCAAGGCGCCGAGCTCCGCAGGAAAACGCCGAACAAAAAGGTACTTGACACCTACCGTCCGCTGCCTTCTTGGCGCCGAAATATGCAACTGGCACCTACCGTTCGCGACCTTCCCTGGCGCCATAAACTGCACTTGTCGCATATCGTTTGTTGCCTCATCCCCTTTTCCAGAAATCTTCCATGCCGCGGAGAGTCGGAGATGCGGCCACGTGCGCAAAACAGCGTTTGGGCGTGCCGGCAACCCGTGGCCGAAGGTACGCATATTATGGGGGATGCCAACCCACAATCGGAAGGATGGCGTGGCACCGAACTTCGTGCTATTGTTGACAATTCGTGATCTTCCCAATTCCCCTCCCAGAGGGTGGTGCAGGGGAACTGTGACAATATTTAGCGGCGTGCTTCTTGCAGAATTGCAGTGTGCTGTTCGAATGCATGATTTTTGGATTCATGTTTTGAAACCCCACATCGCAAGCGCAACGAATCTCAATTCGAATTCGATCGACGTCCTCTGAACCTCGGGCGTGCTCAAACATTATTAAATTTCGATGAGTCTTATGCACATGAAGCCCTGAAATTATGAGCCCGGGGCTTCTCTCAATTCCTACTGCATACGCATCGAATTCCCATTCAAATGCAACAATTCATCCTCTGAATCCTGGATCGGCTCCATCCTTATCCAACCCACATTCGGGTCCCATGTCAAACCCATGAGTCGGTTCGTGATACACTCGAAGTAAACCCCGAATGGTGTTCCATCTGCTGTAAATTTGACTCATCTGACCCAGGGGCCTGCTCCATTACAATTGGATGCCTTTGGACGGTTCGAGCAAGTCCTATAGTTTCCTTCGGGCATCAAGTCGTGTCTATCGAACTCCTACTAGATGCGTGTGCCGATCAAATTGTAATCCTCCGTTTCCTGAAGCCACTCCAATCCGATTAAATTCGATGTGGCTCCCGTTTAATTCCAATGAACGATCTCTGGGTCTAATGCGGGCCCACCTCTAATTGAAGTCCAACTTGCATCACATTCACAACCAACTGAAGTATTTTGAACGTGAGGTCTGGTGCACTACGACATGTGTTTGACAAGCGGTATTGGTCTTGGCGGTCTTGCTCCTTGTGCTCATCCGTTTTTCCACAAGACGTTCCTGCTCGGCGTCCTTCCAGCACGGACACTACTATCACTGCTACGGTTCCTATTATTCACACTCGAACGCTACGACTACGGCCACGGCTACAAATTCGACTACTGCTACTACTACGATCACGACTACTGCTACGGCTATTACTACGACTACTGCTACTACTACGGCTACGGATACTACTACTACTACTACTACTACTACTACTACTACTACTACTACTACTACTACTACTACTACTGCTATTGCTACTACTACTACTACTACTACTACTACTACTACTACTACTACTACTACTACTACTACTACTACTACTACTACTACTACTACTACTACTACTACTACTACTACTACTACTACTACTACTACTACTACTACTACTACGACTACTACGACTAATACTAGTTCTACCAGTATTACTACTACTACTACTACCACCACCACCACTACTTCTGCTACTACTACTAGTACTGCTACCACTACTGCTACTACTCGTACCACTGCAATCACTGCTACTACTACTACTACTACTAGCACTACTACGACGACGACGACTACTACTACTACTACTACTACTACGGCGACTACTACTACTACTACTACTACTACTACTACGACTATTACGACGACTACTGCTCCTACTCCTCCTACTACTACTTCCTCTTCTACGACTACTACTACTACTACTACTACTACTACTACTACTACTACTACTACTACTAGTACTACTACTACTACTACCACTACTACTACTACTACTACTACTACTACTACTACGACTACCACAGCAACTACTACTACTACTACTACTACTACTACTTCTACTACTACCACCACCACCACCACCACCACTACTACGACTACTACTACTACTACTACTAGTACTACCAGTACTACCAGTACTACAGCAAGCACTACTACTACTACTACTACTACTACTACTACTACTACAACTACTACAACAACAACAACTACTACTACTACTACGACTACTACGACCACTACTACTACTACTACTACTACTACAACTACTACTACTACTACTACTACGGCGACTACTACTACTACTACTACTACTACTACTACTACGACTACTACTCCTACTCCTACTACTACTACTACTTCTTCTTCTACGACTACAACTACTACTACTACTACTGCTACTACTACTACTACTGCTACTACTACTACTTCTACTACTACTACTACTACCACTACTACTACTACTACTACTACTACTACTACTACTACTACTACTACTAGTACTACGACTACTACTATTCCTACTACGACTACGACAACGACGACGACGACTACCTCTACTACTACTACTTCTACTACTACTACTACTACTACTATTACTACTACTACTACTACTACTACTACTACTACGAGTCCGACTACTACTATTACTACTCCGAATACTACGACTACTACAACGACCACTACTACCACTACTACTTCCACTATTACTACGGCTACGACTACGACCACGACAACAAAGACTACGACCACTACTACTTTTACGACTACTAGTGCCACTACAACTACAACTACTTTGCGACTTTTGTTACGACTACTACAACTACTACTACTACTACTACTACTACCACCACTACTACTACTACTACTACTACTGCTACTACTACTACGACTAGTCCTACTACTACTACTACTACTACTACAACTACTACTACTACTACTACTACTACTACTACTACTACTACTACGACTACGACTACTACGACTACGACTACGACTACGACTACGACTACTACGACTACGACTACGACGACGACGACGACGACGACGACGACGACGACGACGACGACGACGACGACGACGACGACGACGACGACGACGACGACGACGACGACGACGACGACGACTACTACTACTACTACTACTACTACTACTACTACTACTTACTACTACTACTACTACTAGTACGACGAGGCGCGCGCGCGGGGGGGGGGGGGGCGGGGGGGGGGCCGCCGTCGCTCACTAGCTCACGGCGCCAGAATGTCCGATGTTCCGAACGCCAAAAAGGCATGGGGACCTAGACGGCGGTGCTCGCCCACGTTGGGCGGTTTTCTCTGGCGCCCCTCACGCGGCTGCGCGCGGCTCGGCGAAATCGAATCGACGGCGAGCCCACAGCCCAGCTCACCTCGGGCCGCGGGCCCCGCCCATCTCGCTGCCGCTCCCACTGCCCCCCCCCCGCGGGCCGCGAGCAGGGGGGGGGGGGCGCCGGGCGCGCCCGCCCAGAAGAGGAGGAGGAGGAGGGGGCGAAGAGGGGGAGGAGGGGGGGGAGGAGCGAACGGCATGGAGGCAGAAGCAAAACTCGCGCAGGGGGGGCAAGGGGGGGCGAGCGGGGGCGGCCACTTCCCCTCCGGTGCCTTCTTCGGGCAGGGCCGGCCAGCCGGCGGCGGGCACCTCGCGCCTCTCGCGAGCGCGCCCAATGAAAAAGCGAAGCAAAGTGGAACCGCGATCGGGGTGAGCCCCATCATCATGGCGGCTTGCCATCTGCGCCGCTCTCCGCGTCGTCTGCGAACGCGCGGCGGCGCAGGGCGCAATCGAGCTCGCGGGCGAGAGCGCGGGCGGAGCGGTGGCCAGCGAGCACCTCCCTGCGACGGCGTCGGTGGCTTTCAGGCGCCCCATGGACTCGCTATCTTTGATGGGTTCGTCATCTGCAGCAGTCCTCCCCATTGATAACCGCATCGTGCCACGCTGAAAGGGCGGCAGTTCTGCACCCCCCCCCGCCCCCCCCTGCTAGCGGCTGCGCGGCCCACTGCAAGCGATCGCGAGGGGTGCGCCGCGGGGGAGGCGGCGCGGCGCTCTGTCTAGCGGGCGTTTCTGGCGGCGCCCCCCCGCTAGCAACTGCGCGCCCCCCCCCCCCCCTCTCCGCGGGCAATCGAAAGGGGGGCGCCGCAGGGAGGGACAACGCCGCCCTGCTAGCACCCCCATGGCACCCCGCGGGCAAGCATGGGGGCATCGCAGGGAGGTGCGACGGCGTCCAATCTAGAGATCGCCCATCGTGCGTCCATCCACGGAGCGAGCTCGTCCTCCACGAACCCCGCCGGCGCTGGGCAAACGCATGCGGTCTCCCGCGCGTTGTGGAGCGCCCCCATGGTGCACTGCCTGACCTCGTAGCCCCTGCAATTGGAAAGTGCGTTCGCCTGGCCGCTCTTGCGCGCCTTCTCGAGCTTGCAGATCGGGAGTATGTCATGCACCTTGTACTGGTCCATCGCGCTGATCTTCCCGATCGCGTTGCTGAGACCGCCCTTGCTCTTCGCGCTGATGTCCTGTTGTGATCATGCCCCCACCTCGGCCATCGCGGCGCAAAGAGCAGGC